CTGTGCCCTATATTACATCCCTGTTACTTATTAAATTTTTATAATATATTTTTATTTATTTCAGAGAGAGGAAGAGAGAGGGCGAGATAGAAACATCAATGAGAGAGAATTATTGATCAGCTACCTCCTGCACACCCGCTACTGGAGCTTGAGCCCATAATCTCAGTATGTGCCCTTGACTGGAATCAAACCTGACCAGAAGTGGAATTGCTGAGTCATGTGCTGGTTCTATTTTTCATTTTTTTTTTTAGGAACCTCCCATCTGTTTTTCATAGTGGCAGCACCAATTTACAATCCAACCAACAGTGAATGAAAGAGGGTCCTCACTTTTCTACATTCTTGCCAACACTTACTTGTTGACTTTTTGATAATAGCCATTCTGACAAGTACAAGATAATATCTCATTGTGGTTTTGATTTGCATTTTCCTGCAAATCAAATAATGAATAGTGATGTTGAGCATCTTTTCATATGTCTGTTGGCCATCAGTATGTCTTCTTTGGAAAATATCTATTCAGGTCCTCTGTTCATTTTTAATCAGATTGTTTGGTTTGGGAGTGTGTGTTTTTCTTTGGTCCTGAGTTGGAGTTTTTTTATACATATACTAGAGGCCCAGTGCATAAAATTTGTGCAAGGTGCTTGGCCCTCGCAGCCGCAGCAGCTTGCCTTGGCCCTTGCAACTCCAGCTTTGTCCAGAAGGTCATCTGGAAAGTTGTTTGGCTGTCCAGTCTAATTAGCATATTATACTATTATTATAGATTTTTATTGATTTTTACAGAGACAGAAAGGGAGGGGGAGAGAGAGATAGGAACATCAATGAGAGAGGAACATCATCAATTGGCTGCCTCCTGCCTGGCCCCTACTGGGAATCAAGCCTCCAACCCAGGTATATGCCCTGACTGGGAATCGAACTGGCAACCTCTTGGATCCTAGGTTGATGCTCAACCTCTGAGCCACAACAACCAGGCATCTTTATATATTTTGGATATTAACTCCTTATCAGACACATAATTTGCAAATATCAGTTTGTTCTCTTTTTGTTTTGTTGATAGTTTCCTTCACTGGACAAATACTCTTCAGTTTGATGTAGTCTTATTTGTTTATTTTTTCTTTTGTTGCCTTGCCTCAGGAGACAAAGTCTAAGATCAATGTCAGGTTGTTTTCTGCCTATGTTTTCTTCTAAGAGTTTTATGGTTTCAGGTCTTACATTTAAAGTCTTTAATTCTTTTTTGTTTTATTTTTGTGTATGATGTAAGAAACCAGTTCATTTTCATAGTTTTGCATGCATCTCTACAGTGTTGCCAGCACCATTTGTTGAAGAGACTGTCTTTACCCCATTATAACATGCTTCCCTTGTCTTAGACTACCTGATCACATAGGTATGGGTTTATTTCTGGGCTTTCTATTCTGTTCTATTAATCTATGTATCTGTTGTTATGCTAGTATAATACCTTTTTGATTACTATAGCTTTGTAATATAGTTTAATATCAGAGTGCTTATTCTTGAGTATTCAGTTTATGTTAACCCCATCTAGTTGAAATTTGAATTTTAATAACATTTCCTAGTGTAGCACTGTCTAACAGAAATGGAACCAGATGTATAACTTAAAAGGTAAATAAAAATAATTGAAATTAATTTTAATAATATATCAAAACCTAATAAATCTAAAGCTAGAGGTGCGTTGCATAAAGATTCATGCAAGAATAGGCCTTCCTTCCCCTAGCTTTGCTACCGGCCGCCTGGGGGGCCTGGAAGTACTCACTCCTGGCAGGAGCACCACTCCCGTAGCTCCCTCCACCCCCATTTCCTCATAGCAGGTGTCCTGCTCTGCCCTGCCACTCCATGCCTGCATATGCAAATTAAACTGCCATCTTTATTGGGTTAATTTGCATACTCACTCCTGATTGGTTGATGGCAGTTACAGAGGTACAGTCCATTTGTATATTTCTCTTTTATTAGTGTAGATCCTATCATTTCAATATGTAATCAATATAAAAATGTTATTAAGAAGAATTTCATATTCTTTGTACTATCTTTATAATCCAGTGTGCATTTTACACTTATAGCATGTCTCAATTTCGATGACCACATATCAAGGGCTCAATAGCCACTGTGACTAGCGGCTGTCACATTGGACAGTGCAGTTGTAATGCCTTTCACGGGTTCCTGAACCTGATTGTACATAAGAAGTACACACAGAACCTTAGCTGCTTTGGCTCAGTAGATAGAGCATCAGCCTGGGGACTGAAGCGTCCTGGGTTTAATTCCAGTCAAGAGCATGTACCTTGGTTGCTGGCACATCCCCAGTGGGGAGTGTGCAGGAGGCAGCTGATCGATGCTTCTCTCTCAATGATGTTTCTAACTCTCTATCCCTCTCCCTTCCTCTCTGTAAAAAAAAAAAAAAAATAATAATAATAAAAAATATATTTTTTAAAAAGAAGTACACACAGAGATACTTGTTAAAAATATTTCCCAGCAGGAAAGCAGTATGGAGTGACCTGAAAAAAAATTAAATATAGAATGCCTTAAAACCCAGCAATTCCATTTTGGGGAATATACCCAAATAAACCTGAAACACTAATTCAAAATAATATATGTGCCCTTACGTTCACTGCAGCATTACTTACAACTAGAGGCTCGAAGCACAAAATTGGTGCAAGAGTAGGTCTTTCTTCCCCAACGGCTGGCATCAGCTTCCCTCTGGCACCTGGGACCCAGGCTTCCCTCACAGTTCTGGCTTCGTCCGGAAGGTCGTCCTGGAAGGATGTCTGGTCTAATTAGCATATTATGCTTTTATTATTATAGAAAGCCAAGATATGAAAGCAGCCTACATGGCCATCAGTAGTCAAGTGGATAAAAAAGCCATGGTACATTTACACAACGGAATACTACTCAGCCATAAAAAAAATAAAAAAATAAAAAACTTACCTTTTGTGACACCTGGGAAGTATTATGCTAAATGAACTAAAGAAATAAATCAGAGAAAGACAAGTACCATATTGCCTCATTTATATGCAGAATCTAACGAACAAAATAGAGTAACAAACAAAATAAAAACAGACTCATAGATACAGAGACCAGGCTTGAAAAAGGTGAAATGATTAAACAAAGAAATAAACTCATAGAAATAGAGGGGAAATAAAAAATTTTTAAATTAAAAAGAAAATAATTCCCAACAGCTCACTCACTCTATTCTGGTTCAATACCTCTAGGAGAAGCCCAGAAATCTGTTTTTGACCAAGTATAACAAATGATGCTGATGCAAGGGTCCATGGACAAGCATATGGAAATTACTACACTTCCTCAAATTGTGAATATAGTGAAGCCTTTTGCATCCTGGGAATACATGAACAATGTTATGGAAGCATTTAAGAAATGTATTACATTTCTATTTTCTAAATTTCACTATGGAGAATCCCATTCTTAACTAATAACACTATTGTTTCCTGGAGTCCCCACGTCTAATCCTGAAGATGTTATGCAAGTGAGAAGGAGATGATGGTTCTTGAAGCCTAACTCAGAAGTTTTGAGAAACCCCTAGGAAATGAAAGGGAGTTGGGTCTCATTGTGGTGGCTTTCCTGGAGTCATAGATGGACACTGTTGGAGGTAAGGGGTAGAATAGGAGATATCTCTGATTGTGCCCTTTCTATCCACATTACCCTGGATGGATCACAGACCACCCCAACTCAAGGTGGGCATAGAAAACAGCGGGACCAGCCCAGCACCCGCCCGAGGAGGAAGGGTAACATCAATAGAGCTCATAGCTGTGAATACAGGTTAGTTTGGAACAGCTCTTTTATTCTCTTTCTTCCATCCTGGGGTCTAACTACAGAAAACAGTATTAGTTCTTAGGAAAGGGATGACAAATGCAGAAGGTAACCTGAATGGCATGTTCTCCTCATGGAAGGGCAGATTGGGACAAGCCCAGATTGCAACACCAAAGATTTTCTACCCTAAGGCTCATCCACTCTCCTCTTTACTTCCCCTCTCAAACAAACAAACAAAAATCACTTGGGCTTTGATGCTCCCTTTTCAAGTATGAGTTAGTATGAATTATATCTAAAGTTGCTGATATTCCCAAATAAATATGAGATCATGGGAAAATATTACAGCATCTAAGGAGTATAATTTCATAAAGAACTGTTAGAACACTGGACAATTTGTACTAGAGACGCAGAATTAATGGACAAAAAAAGTGATACATTTTAAATGAGTAAAATAAATACCTACAAAAATATAAAGGAGAATATTGTAAAGCAATAATAAGATGAAGATACTGATTATGAAAAAATAAATCAACTGAAATGAATTTAGTGGATGGGTTGACTATTACAGATGGGATACCTTCAAATAACACATTAGTAAGGTAGAAATTAGGGAAATCTCCCAGGAAATATCTGGAAACAATAAAGAGGTGGGAAAAATAAAATTAAGAGATATGCAGAGAATATCTGCTAACAAAACCTAACAGCACCATGATTTGGGCTATGAAGAAGGATTGATAGAAGAAAAGTTACTCCTTCTGTTCTACGGGAAACCTGTCTGGATGACCAGTAGAAGAGCCACCATATATTGAGTTTGTTTCAGTCCAGGCTAGCTTCTTTCCAAGCGCAATTCCATTTGATCCTCACAGTAACACTAAGAGGTTTGTAATACCATCACCTCCAGGTCATGAGTGAAGAAACTGAAGCCTGTGGAGGCGTACACATTTTTATTCCATTTCCATACAAGATTAGATTTCATCTTTCAGACAGATCAGGTGGGTCTTCCCTTCCCAAGATTACCTTTAGGCTTCCCTCCAGGCTTCCCTCCCGACCCTGGAGCTGTCATCAGGTGCGGAGGGCGGGGCGGGAGGCAGCCCCCGAGGGGACCAGCTGGGCAAAGCCCGCCCTGAAGGCGGGACCACGGCGGGGCGTGGCCTCACGCCCATGCTCTCATTGGATCTGGGTGGACTTCCGGAGAGCCGTAAAGACCTTTCCCAGTCGTGAAGTGGTGTCGCGCAGACGCGTTGCTTTACGACGCTCGGAGGACCACACCAGGTCGGCGTTCAGGGCCTGGATCTCCCAGCACGTGGGCCTGTGAGGTTCTCCCCGCTGGTAACTCACACCTCCCGGCGGGGGCCAGCCCCGTGGAGGACAGGGTGGCAGCGGAGGCCCAGGGTCTCGCGCTGATGGATTTTGCCGCTGACAATGAAACCACGTCGGGAGGCGGCCTCCGGCGCGGGGCTGAGGGGGCGCGGCTGCCGCTCGAGGCCGGCGGTGGAGCGGCGGCGAAGGGGCTGACAGGAGCGGAGCAAACCGCGGGTGGAGAAGAAGGGACTGCACCGGGGGCGGGGGAGGAAACGCGGGCGTTCCCAGCGGCTGTGAAGCTGGAGAACACGGACTGGCCGGAGACGGAGGGAGGTATGCTGGAGGGCCGGCCGATAAAGCAGGAGGCGGAGGACGGGCCTGAGGTGAAGGAGGAGAAGCCGGACCCCGTGGAGGTGAAGCTGGAGGTGAAGCAGGAGGCGGAGGGCGGTTGGGCGGTAAAAGAAGAGAAGGTGGAGGAGGATGGGCCAGAAATCAAGGAGGAGAAGGTGGAGGATGGGCCAAACATCAAGGAGGAGAAGGTGGAGGATGGGCCAGAGATCAAGAAGGAGAAGGTAGAGGATGGGCCAGAGATAAAGGAGGAGAAGGTGGAGATTGGGCCAGAGATCAAGGAGGAGAAGGTGAAGGATGGGCCAGAGATCAAGGAGGAGAAGGTGGAGGATGGGCCAGAGATCAAGGAGGAGAAAGTGAAGGTGAAGGAGGAGGTGATGGACTGGCCGGACGTGAAGGAAGAGGGGAAAGACCACTTGGAGATAAAACAGGAGGAAGAGATGGTGTTGTTCACCCAGAACATAAAGGAAGAAGTGATGGATGAAGCGTGTGTAAAAGAAGAAAAGTGTTTCCTGAAGGAAGAAATACTGGAGGACACCAAGGTGAAAGAAGAGCCCCCGATCAATTGCCCCGTGGGCTCGAAGCGGAAACTGGCCATGACAAGGTAGGGCTCCGAGAAGGCCATTGGGGGGATGAGGCCGTGGAGGCCTCTGCTGTCCGGTTTGATGGAAACTGCACAGCCAGCAGGTGCAGGAAATGAAGCACAAGTTGGGTCCCTGGAAACTGGGTGGTGGGAGTGGGGACCGAGGAATTGGGGCTGTGGAGGGTTTTGTCAGATAACAGATTCAATGAAAATATTGTGAGGTTGATAGTGTCCCGTGAGCAAGTCAGAAGGTGAAAATTCTGGGGACCAGAAAATCTTTGGACCAGATTCTGGCTTGACTTGATGTGCCCTTGACTCAGTATTTATTTTGAGGGAGGATAGAGGTGAGGAAAAGGCTAATAAAACTAACGAGACACAGTAGGTTAAGTTAAAATCCTACAAAAATGCACTTAAACTAGTCCAGTTGTTTAGTTTTCTAAGAATGCTGTTACTATTCGTTATTTTTATTTGTTTTTCCAGTTGTATGTGATCATGTGACATAGGAAACAAAGAGGGATCAGGTTCTTGGGACTTTTACTAGCTAGAACACAATAGGTCCTAGACTAGCAGGTGAAGGCACATATAACAGACCTAGATTATTCTGATGCCTATACCAGGTTGCGTGTGTAGTTGAGGAAAAAGGTTCAACTGCTATTCTCTGAATTTGACTGAGTCTTACAAATTTTACTGGTGTGTGAGCCTGTAAATATATCTAAACATAATTCATGGATTGAACTTCTGGATATAGCACACACACAGTCGTTAAGAAATTGCCAGGAATTACAAGTTAAAAATGTCATTGAATAATCCCTTTTTCTGATGATAGCAGTAAAAGAAGTCAAAAGTGAGATGATTTTTTAAACAAATCTAATACATATTTTCTTGAGTTACATATTGCTAGTAACGTTGTAAATGTAGTAGTCATTTGGAGACGGTTTCCTAGAAGAGAATTTTCTAACAATGTTTGACAAGCTAGTGAGTATTTTGTCATGTGCTTGCATATATTTTATTCACTGTGTCTGCAAATTGATTGTGATGAGTAATTGATTCATTAAAATCTTATAAACAAATAAGTAGAATTAATAACGGATAACTTATGTTTCATGTGGGTTTTTACAGATGTGAAACTTGTGGTACAGAAGAAGCCAAGTACAGATGTCCACGTTGTATGCGGCATTCTTGCAGGTATCCTAATATATATAAAGAGCTGGGTGGTGTCATGACCAAACGGGCAACCGGTCACCATGAAGTGCATGGACCACCTCTCTGTCCCCCCTCTCCTCCAGCCCCCGAGCTGCTCACCATGAGGAGGGACTAGGGACTGTTGAGCAGGGGTGGCGGGCTGCTTTGTGGGGTGGCCGTGAGGTTAGCAGAGCAGTCATCTAGGCAGCAGCAAGTTTTGCGAAGCAGTCGCAGGGCTGGGGAGTTTCCTGGAGCAGTTGCGGGGTCAGGGGAGCCTCTCGGAGCAGTGGTGGGTGCGGGGGTCTCGGAGCATCCAGCGGTGAGCTTCGAGGGGCAGCAGCAAGCTTCACAGAGCAGTCGAAGGGCAGGGAGAGCCTCGGGAACAGTCGAGGGGCTGTGAGCATCGTGGAGCTTCCCGGGGCAGGGCGGCAGAGGCCATCTGACAGAGGCCAGGCTAGGCCTAGGGACCCTAACCTCACACAATTTTGTGCATGCTGAGCCTCTAGTATACAAGAGGCCCGATGCACGAAAATTCATGGAAAAGTAGCCTGCCTTCCCCCGGCTGCTGACACCGGCTTCCCTCTGGGGCCCGGGCTTCCCTCCTCCAGCCACCAGCAGGCGCCCAGGACCTGGGCTTCCCTTTCAGACCTGGCTTTGTCAAGAAGGTCATCCTGAAGGACGTCTGGTCTAATTAGCATATTACACTTTTATTATTGTACCGTGTTTCCCCGAAAATAAGACATCCTCCGAAAATAAGACCTACTTACAGGTTTCCTTCTGAGTGAAATATAAGGCCCCCCCAGGCTAAACATGAGAGGTTTGGTCCACTGATTCTGAAAGAAATAGATTCACAAGAAATTCACCAGGAAATTCAGGAATTGGATTGTTATGATGATGTTCCAGAAGATGATGACATGATTGTCATTGAATAAATGAGTAAATTCTTGATACTGTAGGATTCACAGTTTGTCTGGTTTGTGTTGACAACTACCATACTACCATACCGTATACAGGTAATAAATTTCCTTTATTTTCACTTAACAATAAATGTGTACTGTATTCTTATTCATGGAAAAATAAGACATCCCCTGAAAATAAGACCTAGCGCATCTTTGGGAGCAAAAATTAATATAAGACACTGTCTTATTTTCAGGAAAACAGGGTAGATAATTTCCTACCTTATTATCTCTATCTGTACCATTGTTACCTCAAAAATATAAAAGTGACTCTTCTTTTCTCTTCAGTTTGCCCTGTGTAAAGAAACACAAAGCAGAACTGACATGTAATGGAGTTCGAGATAAAACTGCCTATGTTTCATTACAACAGTTTACTGAAATGGATCTCCTAAGTGGTAAGCCATCTTATGCATAGCAGATTGGTGCTTCCTGGCCATTGCTGTATGTTGTGTGTTTATTTTTCTGTTTTGAAATTTTTAGATTATCGATTTTTGGAAGATGTGGCAAGAACAGCAGACCATATTTCCAGAGATGCTTTATTGAAAAGATCATTAAGCAATAAACATGTAAGTATTTCTTCTAATCTTTTCCAGTTAGAATTCCTTTTAATTAATTAGATTCATTTTTTTCACTCAACAAAATGTTTTAGGTGGCCACTACGGTCTGAAGTCTATTCCAGTTACTAGGATACACCATTGACCAAAACAAAGGCCTTCACCTCATGGAACTTGTCTTGTAAGGGGAGAAACAGAAGTTGTGTAGAAATAAATATTTAATTTCAAGTGGAATTAGTGCATGTGGAAAATAAAGAAGCACAGGAGGTTAAAGAAAATGAGAGTACTGTTTGTTGGGAAGAGGTTGTGAGGGTACTGTTTTTGATACAGGGGTCAGGAGAAGCTTCTTTGAGAGATGACATTTAAGCAGTGATCTGAATGATGAGAAAGAGGCAGTCTTGTGAACATTTGGAGGAAAACTATACCAGGTAGAGACAAAAGTAAAGACAGTTGGGAACGAGGCTGGTGTGTTTGAAGAATTGAAATAGGGCAATGCGACTAAAGTGTGGTTGAGGAGAACGTTAATCTTTGGTTCTAGTTTATTCTAAGTGAAACTAAAAGACATAGGAAGGTTCTGAGAGTATGCTTTTAGAAAGATCACTCTGCTGTCTGGAAAATGGACTTTAGCTGGTAAGAGTGGGAGATTGGAAGCAGCGAGACCAGTTTAAAGGCAGTTGCTTGCGGTACAGATGATAATGCTATTAGAATTATTAAGAAGCAGATCATGGATTTAAAGGAATAGCTAACAGGACAAGCTATTTCAATACACATAATTTTCATTTCATCTCTTTTTTTTTTTAATCCTCATCTGAGCATGTGTTTATGGATTTTAGATAGAGGGAGGAAGAGAGAGAAAATGAGAAACATCGATTTGTTGCCTTTCATACATGCCCCAATTGAGGACCGAACCTAGGTATGTGTGTCCTAGGGAATCCACACTAAGACCTGTTGGTGTCTGGGATGATGCTCTAACCAGCTGAGGCACCAGCCAGGGCTCATCCTTTTTTCATTCATTGAGCACTATTCAAAATTAAAGCTTACATGTTTGAGTTATTTTGCAGCAGTTATTCCAGAAATTCTTTAATAATATTAAATCATGTCATGGAATTATGTCCATTTTTTTCAGACACTATTTTAATATTGAAGTTGTAGAATTTTAATACCTTTTAAACACATTTTTTGTTTGTTTGTTTGTTTTTTATTTTATTGATTTTTTTACAGAGAGGAAGGGATAGGGATAGAGAGCTAGAAACATCGATGAGAGAGAAACATCAACCAGCTGCTTCCTGCACGCCCCTTATGAGGGATGTGCCCACAACCAATGTACATGCCCTTGCCTGGAATCGAACCTGGGACCTTTCAGTCTGCAGATTGACGCTCTATCCACTGAGCCATACTGGTTTCGGCCTTTTAAACACGTTTTATTGGTGTTTTTAGTACAGAAATGATATGACATGTATCTGAAAGAAAGATTATCGTGCATCTTTTTTCCTTAAGCTTAATTAGAATTCTACTTAAAAGATAAATTGCTCTTTAATTTTTTCTTTTTATTGTGAAGTATGGCATGCACATTAAAAAAAAAGCATAAAAGAAATACACTGTCTAATAAATAATTATAAAGTTAACATCCATCTAATGACCATTCAAGTCTAAAATTAGAGCATTCACCTGCTTCTCAAAAGTTCCCTGCTCCCCCTTGTGCCCTTCTCTAATCCATTGTTATTTCTGAATAATTTTCTAGTTTAAAACTGCACCACAATTTATCCATTCTTTTCTTGGTAGACTTTGAGTTTTCTGTAATAAGAAGAGAAAAAAATTAGAAACAATGCTACTATGAACCATTTGTTTATGAATTGTAGTTTGCGTGCGCACATGTTTTTCTGGGATTTATATCTGGGAGTGGAATTGCTTTGTTGTGGAGTGTACATATCTTCAGTTTGACTAGGTGTTACCAAAACATTTTCTAAAGTGGTTGTACCAGTTCCCAGTAGAGCGTAAATGGCACCTATTGTCACATCCTGTCCAATATTTGATGTGGTCAAAGTTTTAAAATTTTTGTTGCCCAGCCAATGTGGCTAAGTGGTTGAGTGTCATCCTATGACAGGAGATTAGAGTTTGATTCTAGTGAGAACACATACCTGGGTTGTGGGCTCGATGCTCAGTTTGGGGTGTGCAGAAAGCAGCCGATCAATGATTCTCATCATTGATGTTTCTATCTCTTTCTCCCTCTCTCTTCCTTTCCAAAGTCAATAAAAATACATTTTTTTTAAACTTGTCCATTAGATCGCTGCATAATTTTATTGTGGTTTTTAATTTGCAGTTCTCTTGATTCCTAATGAGATTGAACACCTTTCAAATATTTTATTGGCCATTTGGATTTTCTCTTTTGTGGAATGCCTGTTTAAGGCTTTTGCTCATTTTTTCATTGGTTAGCCTTCTTACTGGTTTTTAGGAATTCTTTGTATTTCTTGGATGCTGGTTGTTGGTTGTCTGTGCTGTAAATATCTTATTTCATACTTTGCTTTTTGTTTTTTTTTCTCACTCTATAGTGTCTTGTGGTAAATAAATGTTCTTGATGTTAATATAGTCAAATTTATCATGTTTTGTTCATAGTTTTATGTGTTTATAAAAAAATCCTTACCTACCTGGAAGTTATAAAGTTCTCTCATAGTTATTTTCTAAAAGCTTTTAGTGTTGCATCTCACATTTATAGCTGTAAACTACCTGGAATTAATTTTTGTGTAACATGGCAAGTGGAGATCCCATTTAATTTTCCATATGAATAATCCACTCTTACTAGCACCATTTATTGAAAAGTTCATCTTTTCATTATTGCTCTGCAAGACCATATTTGTCATATATCAAACATCCATATATGTTTGGGTCAGTTTCTGGCTGTTCCACTATCTACACCAGTTATTGTAGCAGTGTTTGTTGTTGTTGTAATTTGTTGTTTATTTGTTTTTATTGAAACCTATCTAATGGAGCAAGTCCTCCCTCTTTGTTCATTTTCGAGAGTATGGCTATATTCTTTGTAATTCTCTATAAATTGGAAAAATCAGCCTGTTGGTTCTACAGTTCTTCCTGCCCCAACCTGAGTATTTTTTTTATCGGGGTTCCATTTATTTTTATAGTAAAATAACTTGAGTGATGAGACATCTTTTTAGCATTGAATCTTTAAATCCTTGGTTGTGTTGTATCTCTGCATTTATTTGTGTCTTCTTTAATATCTCTCTAATTTTCTCAGTGGGGTCTTGCACATTTCTTACTAAATTTATTTCTGGGCACAATTTTTTCATGCTAATTTAAATAGCATTTTAATTTTATTATCTTTTGCTGGTATTTATGAATGATTTTTTGTTATTGTTTATTTTATAGTGAGCAGCCATATTATAATCTATTCCAGTATCTTATCTATAAATTATTTAGGGTTTTTTTTCTGTAAATAATTCATCACAATTTCTTCCTATCCTTAATATTTTGATCTCTGTCTCTCTCACTCTCCCTCCCTTCTCTCTCTCCCCCTCTCTCCTTATTGAAAAAGCTAGGACTTCCAATTCAAAGTCAGATACTAGTGATGACAGAATATATTTTTGTTGCAAGTCCTAATTTTACCCTTGGCTTGATAGAAGGAATTTGCTAGAAGGATTCACAGAACTCTGCATACATTTGTACTTGTGGTTATATTATTACAGTGAAAGGGTACTGAGTAAAATTAGCAAAATGAAAAAGCATGTGGGGTAAAGTCTAGAGTAATTCAAATGCAAGTTTCCAAGAATCCTCTGCCTTTGGAATCACAGTACAGTTAATTCCTTTGGCAGTGAGCTGTGATAACATATGTGAAGTGTTGTCTACTAGGGAACACCATTAGAGACTCACTGTGTAAGGTTTTTATTGGGAACTGATTGCACAAGCACCCTCTGCCAGCTTGTACCAAATCCCAGACTCCTAGAAGGAATGCAAATAATCTACATTGTTTATACAAACAATTTCGGCACAGCGAACCATTTTTATCATTTGGAAAAGTTTTATATCAGTTTAGGGAACCATCTATAATAATAAAATCGTAATAAGCAAATCGACTGAACAGAAGAACTACCATCCAGACAAACTTCCAGACGACTATGCTATGACACACAACGTTAGAACACCCCCTCCCACCTGGCAATCAACAGTTCGTTCTCTGTTTCTATAAGTTTGTTTCTGGGTTTTTTTGTTTGTTTTGTTTTTCAGATTACACACATATTTGAAATCATATGGTATTTGTCTTTCTTGAACGTATTTAACTTAGCAGAATAACCACTAGGTCCACCCATGTTGTCACAAATGGCAAGATTTCATTCTTTTAGGGCTGAGTAATATTTCATTTTATATATGCACCACAGCTTCTTTACCAGTTGTCAATTGATGGACACTTAGATTGATTTCATATCTTGGTTATTATAAATAATGTTTCAGTGAATATAGGGATGTTTTTGTCTTTTCAAGTTAGTGTTTTGGCTTTCTTTGGTTAATACCCAGAAGTTGAATTGCTGGGTCCTTCCTGATCTCTTGTTATATACAGCCTTTGTTTTAAACTCTATTTTGTCTGATAGAACTGTTGTTCCCCCAACTTGTTTTCCTTTGTTTCCATTTGCATGAAATAATACTTTCCATTTCTTTACTTTCAGTTTTTGTGATTTTTTTTTTATCTGAAGTAGGTCTCTGTAGGCAGCATACGTATGGGTCTTTTTTTCTTACCATTTAGCCATCTGTCTTTTGATTGAAGCATGTAACCATTTATATTTAAAGTTAATTATTGATAGGTATATATATTACCATCATCTTATTACTCATTTTTTAAAATCCTTTTTTTCTTAAAGAAGTCACTTTAAAATTTGTTTTGTTCTATGATTTCGGGGAGATGAACTCATTGAGCTTTTTTTTTTTTAACCTGGGAAGCTCTTTTGTTTGTTTGTTTGTTTGTTTGTTTGTTTTTAATAAATCTTTATTGTTCATATTATTGCAGATGTTCCTCATTTTTTTTTCTCCCTCCATTGCTCCCCTCCATCAGGTTCCCACCCAACCCTCTGCCCTTTCCCCACCCCCCATTGTCCTCATCCATAGGTGCACAGTTTGTGTTCAGTCTCTTCCCACACTCCCCACTCCTCTTTTCCCCGAGAATCATCAGTTCACTCCCCTTCATACCTCTGATTCTATTATATTCACCAGTTAATATTGTTCATCAGATTTTTTAATTATCTTGGTTTTTAGATTCACTTGTTGATACTTACGTATTTGTTGTTCATAATTTTTATCTTTATCTTCTTCCTCTTCCTAAATAACCCCCTTCAGCAATTCATATAATTCTGGTTTGGTGGTGATATAATTCTGGTTTAGCTTTTTTTTTTTTTTTTTTTTTTTTTTTTTTTTTTTTTTTTTTTTTTTTTTTTTTTTTTTTTTTTTTTTTTTTTTTTTTTTTTTCCTGAACCTCTTTATCTAGCCTTCGATTCTGAGTGATAGCTTTGCTGGGTAGAGTATTTTTGGCTGTAGGTTCTTGTTATCACCTTGAATATTTCTTGCCATTCCTGTCTGGCCTGCATGATTTCTGTTGAGAAATCAGCTGACAATCGTATGGGTACTCCTTTATAGGTAACTGGTTGTTTCTCTCTTGCTGCTTTTAATATTCTTTCTTTGTCTTTTGCTCTTGGAATTTTAATTATGATGTGTCTTGGTGTGGTCCTCTTTGGATTCCTTTTGTTCGGGGTTCTGTGCGCTTCCTGGACTTGTAGGTCTAATTCTTTCAACAGGTGGGGGAAGTTTTCTGTCATTATTTCTTTCAGTATGTTTTCGGTGTCTTGCTCTCTCTCTTCTGGGACCCCCATAATTCTGATGTTGGTTCGCTTGAAGTTGTCTCAGAGGTTTCTTACATTATCTTCAACTTTCTGGATTCTCTTGTCTTCTTGCTTCTGCAGAGGAGTATCTTCTGGCTCTTTATGTTCCAAATCTTTGACTTGATTCTCGTGATCTTCCATTCTGTTTATAGGACTCTGTATAATATTTTTTATTTCAGACAATGTATTCTTTATTTCTTGTTGATCCCTTATTATTTCTTGTTGATCCTTTATTATTTCTAGTTGATCCCTTTTCATATCCTCATAGGTCTCGTTTATTTTATCAGCCTTTTCTAGGAGATTCTTGAAAAACCTTATAAGCGTGGTTTTGAACTCTATATCCAGTCGCTTTTTGTCCTCCATTTTTTTCATTTGTGATGTTTCTTTGTCTCGGCATTTTCACAGCTTCCCTGAGTTGGTAGCCTTAAAAGTCTCTGTGTTCAGCTTGGATGGGGCAGAGTTTCAGGGTGGAGCCTACAGCCTTGGTTTCTGTCAGCCATGCCCTATGAGGCTCCTGAGTCTCAGTGTTCCTCAGGGTCCTTCTCATTGCAAGCACCTCTGAGAGTAAGGTGCCTTTGAGTTTCGCGTGCTACCAAACAGTCTAGGCTCTCCCTCAATGAGCCCGGAACTGGGGTTCAGTTCAGTTGGAAGTGGGGTTCAAAGCAGTCTGGAGTTTTTGTCTCCTTCCTGCTAGGGCAATCCAGCGGCACAGTCAACAGTCCGTCCTCTGCACGCAATGTGAGCGCCTCCGGGGGCTCTGCCTTTCTCCGCTCCCCAGGGTTTCCGCCTTACAGCCCAGGCTCCCTCTGTGAGCCTGGGTTACCAGGGTCTGGCCTAGAACTGGGGTTCAGTGCAGTCGGACTGTGGCTCAGCACAGACCAGAGCTTTTGTCTCCTTCTCGCTAGGGCAGTCTAGCAGCAGAGTCAATGGTCCGTCCTCTGCGCGCAATGTGCGTGACTCCGGGGCTCTGCCTTTCGCTGCTCCCCTGAGATTCCACCTAACAGCCCAGGCTCCCTCTGTATGAGCCTGGGTCCCCAGGGTCTGGTCTAGAACTGCTGTCGGATGTGAGGTTCAGCACAGTCCGGAACTTTTATCTCCTTCCCGCTAGGGAATTCCAGCCAGGCACTCAGCCTCCCCCTTCTCTCCGGCTCAGTCCTCTCAGTGCGCGACGTGTCTCCGCACCTTAGGCTTTTCGGCTCCTCTGATTTTCCTTCTGGTTTTCTCTTTCCTTCTCATTGTAGAATTTCCAGTCAGTTGACTTTCTTGTAGTTCTGGGTAATGTCCATTTTGTATTTTAGTTGTATTTTATTGAAATTGTGTGAGGCTGCAGTTAGGTGTTACCTATGCTGCCATCTTGGATTCTCCTCTGGGAAGCTCTTTATCTCTTCCCATTTTAAATCATTACCTTGCTGGGTAGAGTAATATTGGTTGTAAATCCTTGCTTTTAATTACTTTTAATATTTTGTGCCAATGTCTTTTGGCCTGTAAAGTTTCTATTAAGAAAATCAGCTGGCAATTTTATGGGAGCTCCCTTTTAGACAACTAATTGCTTTTCTCTTGCTGCCTTTAAGATTTTTTATTTATTTATTTATTTATTTATTTATTTGTCTTTAGCCTTTGGGATTTTAATTATGATATTTCTTGGTGTGGGCTTCTTTGATTTTGTCTTGTTTGGGACTGTCTGCACCTCCTGGACATATATGTCTATTTTCTTTTTCAAGATGGGGAAGTTTTCATCCATTATTTTATCTGATAGATTTTTAATCCCTTGCTCTCTCTTTTCTTTTTTGGTCCATCTATGATGTGAATGTCATTACCCTTGATGGTATCCCAGAGGTCTGTTAAACTATCCTCATTAAAACAAATTTTTTTGTGTACCTATTGAGTGTTTTCCACTACCTTGTTTACCAAATCACTTCATCTAATCAGGTGAGGATTAACAACAGCAACAACAAATCAATAAAAGAGGAAGAACTATATAGGTAACTATACCTATAATGTCTTTCTTTTTTTTTTCTTTTTTTAATCCTTCTCTTGGCTTATAGAGTGTATGGGTAAAAGCACAGGCTCTGGAATTACATAGACCTGGGTTTGAATATAGGCTCTCTCAGAAATAGTTGTATACCCCTAGCCGGTTTGATTCTGTGGATAGAGTGTCGGCTTTTGGACCAAAGGGTCCCGGGTTTGATTCCAATCAAGGGCACATACTATGGTTGCAGGCTCCTCCCCAGCCAGGGCTCTCCCTGGTTAGGCATGTACAAGGAGGTAACCAATGGATGTGTTTCTCTTACATCTGCTATTTCTCTCTGTCTTTCCCTCTCTCTTCCACTCTAAAAAATCAATGGAAAAATTTTCTTGGGTAAGAATTTATAAAATAAGATTTTTTTTTAAGTTGTATAATGTTGATATCTTATGAATTTTCAATGCTAAAATGGGGGTAATGGTAGTACCTGTCTCATAGTATTGTGAGTATAAACAACAGTGTTGCTTAGCACAGTTGGTAAAATATAAGCATTCAATACATCTTAACTATTATATTTTGAACATTATTTTATTAATTTGTGAAATTTAAGGAATTTTAAAAGTAATTTGTCTATATTTGTTGTTGTTAGATGTGCTTTATGAAAAATCGTGCCCGAAGGCAAGGTATTAACTTAAAACTTCTACCCAATGGTTTCACCAAGAGGAAAGAAAATTCAACATTTTTCGATAAGAAGTAAGTTCCTCACGTCTTCCTTAGTCTATCCGGTGTTCTGATTTTATCAGGAACATTTTTTAAGGTTTAGTTTGACACAGAGGTACTAGTAGTGTGGTCTGTGAGCTGTTTATTATTAGTCTATGAAAAGATGACTATAGAAATGGAAAATAAACATTTAGAAACTTAAGATTTCTTTTGAGAGCCAATGAGGGGAAAGAAAAAGACTTGGGAAACTTTTATTCTGCAGTGAATGTGAGTACAGGTAATACAACAGAGTTTAGTTTGCTGCTTTCTGAAAGAGCTAGAGATCAAAAAGGCTCCAGCAGTACAGAGTACTGTAAGAATTTCAGAACATTGTAAGTAGCCCACTAAATTATTGAGTAATGCCTTTCAAAAGTCAAGATTCTGGATTTTAGAGTAAAACAAACAACAATGGAATCCCTTCTTCTTTAGTCTCTTAGTATATGTAAGAACTTGTACAAATTACTTCCTATTTCTAGGCCTCATCTGTAAGATGTGGAGGTTGTACTAAGTAAAATCTAAGATTCCTTCCAATTTTACTACTTCATAAATTGAAAAGACAGATCATCAGATTATTATTTAAACCTTCTACCTTTTCAACATGTTTTATTATAAGAAGGTGATGTTATCCACTTTTTTTTTTTTGTATGTTTCAAGTCATAAATACTTGTAAAGGTGGTTTTCCTTTTTCCTGGTTGGCTTCCAGAAGTAAAGTAATGCCTTCATTTATTAAATGTGAGATGATTCCTTTGTACATTTTGAAACTAAAATATCTGGAAATTGACATAATTTGTTTGAAATTTAAGGTGACTGGTTTGTGCCTTCACAAAAATAAAGGCACACACTTTTTATTTTTCTCCAATTAGCCTTTTTCCCTTTAAAAATATAATATAGACTGCTTTTCTTGTTAATGCAAATCTGCCTCATTATTTTTAAGTTATCTGTTCCAACTATGACTACTGTATAATAATTAAATTATTCCCATATTCATGCACATTTAGCTTATTTCTAGCTTTTAATTGTTACAAATAATGTAATAAATATCATTTAATAGATTATTTTGGGTGCTTATGTGACTTTATCTGTAGAATTAGTTCCTAGAAGACAGAATTAATGGGTGAGACAACATGGGTTTAAACTTTTTCGAGAAACTTATTTTCGAGAAACTTTATTTTCCCTAAAAAAGTACCACTTTTTACCTTCATCAGAAATAGTATCAGAGTACCTATCTTAGTTATACTGCACTTTAATTGAATATTTAAACTTTTTTTGTCTGATCATTAGAGAGGCTGATCTTTTAAATTTTTATTTCTTTTCAGATGTGCCTATTTATATCTCTTCTTGCTCTGTTACATACATTTGAACATTTTCATCAGTTGGTTTATCCTTTAATTTTACCTTCCATTTTTGATACATGTTAAAAATTGTTTAAAAAATCTGTAAAACACAGAGATAATAAAATTGGAGTGGTTAAGAGCACAAACTAGACCAATCTGCCTGAGTTCAAATTTCCTCTCATCAGCCTTTCCTAGCTATGCGGTCTTACTTTGTGCCTCAATCTCCTCATCTATCAAGTGGGGCTAGTAATAAATTAGGGTTAAACCAGTTTTCATTTCTATTGGTAGTACATGAAAATATCTGTTTAAATATCTCACTGAACATCCTGCAGGCATAAAAAAGCTATCTCTTTTTTAAAGCACTTTTGCCACCCTGGCCGGTTTGGCTCAGTGACTGAAGCGTCGGTCCATAGAACCAAGCTTGCTTGTTGGACCCCCAGCCTGGTTGGGGTGTGTGTGGGAAGGCAGCCAATGTGTTTCTCTCTCTCTCCCTCTGTTTTTCTCTCCCTCTCTCCCTTCCTTTTCCTTCCCTCCCACACTCTCTCTTAAAAAAATCAATGAGAAAAATATCCTCAAGTGAGTATTAAAAACAAAAATTTTTTTAACCCATTTTATAAAAGGTTAAAATATTTTGTTTTAATTTTATTTCACTTAATTGCTAGTGAGATATGGAATATTTGCTCACAAGTGTCAGAGTGATATCTAAAAATTTCATTGTAACATTAGACTTTAATGCAGTCTGCTGAGTTAAGATGATCTATCATTTGTAAAGTCATTTTGGGAATCAGTTCAGTGGGGGGAAAATTTTCAATCTATGTAACATAATTTTTCCCTTTGTTAATTGTTAAATGACCTGTTATATTTTTAAATGAAAATGGGTTTTCTACTAACTGAATTTTAAAATGTCTGACTTAAGATGTTGGATGAATAATAAAAAGTATTAACAGGAGTTCCCAGCTTAAAGAATATTTATTACTCGTTAATCATCTTGGTAATCTCTTTAATCTCTATATTATGTTCATTCTTGTTCAGCATTTTCATCAGTGATATAAATCTTGGCACTGTTGATGTTTTGAGCCAGAGAATTTTTTTTAAAAATATATTTTATTGATTTTTGTACAGAGTGGAAGGGAGAGAGATAGAGAGTTCGAAACATCAATGAGAGAGAGTCATCGATCAGCTGCCTCTTGCACACCCCCTACTGGGGATATGCCCGCAACCAAGGTACATGCCCTTGACGGGAATCGAACCCGGGGCTCTTCAGTCCCCAAGCCGATGCTCTATCCATCGAGCCAAACCATCCGGCTTTTTTTTTTTTTTTTTCTTTTTTTTTTTTCTCTTAAACTATCTCCTTTATTCATTCATTTATAGTTGAGTATGAAACAGAAACAGCTGGGCACCCACACACACTCACGCGGCCTGAGAGGGCGCTGGGTCAAGGGCACTTGGCAACTGGGCTGGACCCCAGACCCTCAGGCACTGGAGGGGGACCGCAGCTGGACACCCCCCAAAGCCCTGCCCAGGGTCTGTGGGAGGCGCAGGGGTCTCGTGTGTCAGGGCCTCGTGGGAATGTCACCAGAGAGACGGGACGCCAGCCCCGAGCCCAGCCCCGAGCCACGGGCCGGGCAGAGGCCCTCGAGTTCCGGCCCGCTTGGGGAAGTGCAGGGCCTGGGGCGTGGGGCGGGGCCAAGGCACGGCCCCCTCGGGCCCCCCAGGTGGACCTGAGCTGGAGGCCGAGTGTGGGTGTGGGCATAGGAACCACAGGGGCGGGGGGCGGGCGGTGCCTCAGGGACCCCAACGCAGCGAACCAGAGAATTCTTTATTGTGGGCTATCTTCTGCATTTTGGTATGTTTAGCAGTATCCCTGGCCTCTGCCCTCTAAATGTTGGTAGCAAAAACACACAAACATACACACACATATACATGCTTTGTTGTGACATCAAAAAATGTCTCCAGACATTGCCAGGTGTCCCCTGAGGTGGAGGCAGAGAAGAGGGGCAATATCACCCTTATTTGAGAAGCACTGATTTAGATGACTATAGAAGACATACTTACTGAACTTAAAGCATGGCAAAATCAGCATTATAGAAAATTTTGGTTGCTAAAAGGTAGTATGTAAGTAACAAGATAAATAATGAAAGTCATGTATTTTAAGAGTAGAGGGGGAAAAAGCCCACTTAGAAGTACTTTTTTTGGGATACTGTGTTTTCTCAGCCATTTATATGAAAATGACCAAGGTTATAGATGATGAGAGTGTGACTAGTTGAAAGGAGTGATGAAGCAACGACTAACTTTATTAAAATAATTTTTTTCACCTCTGTTCTCTCCTGTGTTTTGAAGAAAAGCATTTTCAACTTTCAAAAGTGGTTAAGGCTTTGACTCAGATAAACCTCTATTTAAATATTGCCTCTACCATTTGGTGCACATGAGGTGATTTTGTGTAAAATCAAATTTACTGAGAGGATTGAATAAAATAATACTGTAGTACCTGTCCCTTAGTAAATAATATACAGTGCCAATTAAAGGTCTATATTTCCTTACCTGAAATCCTGGGGATATAGTTTACTATATTACTTCCTATATAATAAAAACCTCGGTGGTGTCGTGCCCTCGTGCGATGTCCGCACATGCTGTTCTCATGCACCGTTAGCACAAGATGGCCGCCACAAGATGGTTGGCAGGGGAAGGAAGTTGTGGGCGACCAGGCTAGCAGGGGAGGGCAGTTGGGGGCGAGATCAGGCCAATAGGGGAGGGGCAGTTGGGGGAATATTCACTCCTAGGAGGTCTGTGACAGCATTGCATAATCAGACAATACTGTTTCTGAAGTGACAGCTGAAACTGTTCACATTATAATGGGTAAATAATGACTATAAATGGACTCAGCCAGGTTTTACTGCACAAGGAGTTAAGAAAAAACTTTGAGCTGGGTTAGTGTGGTTCATTGGTGAGTGTTAACCCAGGAACCAGGAGGTTACCAGTTTGATTCCTGGTTAGGGCAGGTGCCCAGATTGTAGGCTCAATCCTGGTGGGGCATGTAGGAGGCAGCCGATCAATGATGTTCCTCTCTCATTGAAGTTTCTATCTCTATTCCTTTCCCTTCCTCTCTCTGTAGAAATCAATTAAAAATGATTTAGGGAGGGAGGGAGGGAGGGATAAAGAGAAAAAAAGAGGGAGAGAAGGAGGGAGGGTAGGAAGAAAAAAAGATAAAGAGAAGAAGGGGAAAAAACCGAGTGAGATTGGGGGATTATGGAATCACTGATTTCAGATTTTGATTCTACTCCAAGATTATTATTATTACTCCCTAGGTATTAACTTGGTCCTTAGTTTGTTTCAGCAGCTTGAACTGTAATATAGTAAAAAACTCATATTTTACTTATTTAAAATAAAATATTCAAATAGTAACTTTTGAGCAATCTGGGTGAAGATTTCTTTGGGTAGCTTTCTATAAAGTTTGAAATTATTTCAAAAGAACAGTGGTTTTAAAAATATTTAAATACCCCTATGTTAAGTGATACTAATGTGTCATTATGACTTATTACCTCTGTAGAACTGTCAACAAATTATGTAGCAGCAAGCACAATAGGTACATTAGGAACATAGTTTCATTCTAACTTGGGTGTTTAGGACCAGTATCACTCTGAATTTCCTAAAGTCACGTGA